CTTGTACACACACACACTCATTGGGTTGGAACAAAAGTTTGTAACATATTTTTAGTGAATTTCAAAATAATATTTAGATATGTGTACATAACAATAATAATAATAAATAATAATATAAATAACTGAAAAAATATGTGCAAATTACAAGAATTTTACATTCAGGCTAACAGAACTTCTGCCAAAAAGCACTCAATAAATAATTAGAGATATAACATTCAATAAATCAAAAAAGTTAAGTAATTTACCTGGTTAGCCAACTCAAGAGTTTTGCATTGAAACTTATAGGTTCAATAGATTTATCAAATATCTGGCCCTAATGAGCATTTCAATGCAAAACTAGTGAAATAACCAGATAAGTCAATCAAATTTTTCTTGATTTATTGGCTACTTGCATATAGATTAATTCAACCATATACCTACCCATTTGTTCCACTACCTTCTACCATTTTTGAGGCAGTTTCATGAATCCAAACCCCCAGAATTGGGGCATCTTTCTGAATGAAGAATTGGTGTTTTCTTTTGTTTTTGTTTTTTAAGTCTTCCAGCAAATGGTTCTTCCCATTAAGAGAATTTTCTAGGGATGGAAATAAGTGCTAATCAGAAGGTGCAAGGTCAGGCAAGTACAGCAAATGTAGTAAAACATCCCTGCCAAGCTGCACCAACTTCTACCAGTTTTCATAGAGAAATAAGTTCTGGTGTTGTCCTAATTGGCCAATTTCAGATGCTTTAAATGGTCCAACTGGAAACAGTACTTGCTAGAATTCAACATCTAATTTTGCAAAAGGAGCTCATAATACACAATACCCTTCCAATCCCACCAGATACACAACATTACCTTCTTCAGATGAGATGCAGACTTGCAGATTGGCTTTTATAGTGATTAATGGTGGCTCATTTCATTTTTTTTCTTGTTGTCTTTCATTGCACATCTTTGTAAACAATCCATTTTTTATCATCTGTGATCATCCTTTTCAAAAATAGGTCATTTTTGTTGTATTTGAATAGAGAATCACAGATGGAAATATGATCCATTAAATATTTTCTATTAAATCATGAGGCACCAAACATTGTAATGATTAACATATCAAGGTGTTTTCAAAAAAGCCTTATAACACTCATGAGATATGGAAAATCTCTGCAACATTCCATGTTGTGTGACCTAGATTATTTTTAATCAGCATTTTGATTTGTTCATCATCAACAACTGCAGGCCTGCTAGGAGATTCTTGGTCTTCCTGACCAAAATTTTCACTTTCTGAACCTTGCAAACCACTAAAAATACATTCAGCTATGGTACCATATCTATAAACAGTATATATCTTTTTTGCTGTTTATACAACATTTTCCTTTTATAAAATAAAAAAGCATCAAATGACAAAAATGCATCTCATTTTCCTTTCAATTTTAATGTAAAAACATTTAAAATTTACAATCCACATACACATTGTGCAAGATACATTGAAATATCACTTTTCAAATTACACAAGCTTTTGTTCCAACACTATATATCTTTTTTTATATCCAGAAAACTTTTTTTATTTAAAGTATGGAACACTGCATAAGTTGGCATAATTTTGTATATTTTATATGTAAATAAGTAATTCTGCAAGTTTACTAAATCAGCCACATCAATATCAACAGAACAGTAGAATCCAACTATATTAAATAGTACAGTTCCCCCTGAGAGAAAAAAAACCTTAGATGATCCAAATATTCAAATTTAACTTCATAATATTCACAATATACAAAGTTTTAAATATGATTTATATAATGCATTTTAATATAAGTACTTAAAAAAAAGAAACAAAAATAAGATAAAGATTACAGTATATACAATATATATCCTTGTAACAGAAAATATTTTGAAATTACTAATCTAACAGAACAAATGCTGATATACAGACTGATACATTTATACCTTTATCTACTTTGTATTGTCAACTGTATGTGAAAATTTGTTCATAAGTTAAATTTTTCTTTAATGGAAAGTAAAAAATATTGCTTTTTTAATAATTTCAAACCAAAATTAAGCTGTTTAAAAGTCAATATTTGCATTATCCTGCATTAATTGAAAATATTTTTTTAAAAAGCAGCAAATAGAAAAAGATAACAGATTCATTCAAAAATAAATTTAGAGATTGCCTAAACTCTAAAAAAAAATTAGAGATTGCCTAAAATCTTTAAAAAAATCACTACCTTTGATTAAAATAATATAAATAATTTTTTTTATTTTATAGTCAACAAAAATTGAAGATCAAATGGAGAGAGAGCAAATTATCCCTAAACAATAGTAATTACTGACATTTAACAAAATTACATTACTGGGTGAGGGTAGTTGCCAACAACTTTTCTTTAATCTGTACAATAAATCTAAAAGATTACTTTTACTTGCAAATTATTTTTATTGTCCATACTGAAGTGATGTAAAGTCCAAATCGGAATCAGATGTTAATACTGTTACTCTAGAAAATCAGTAGTCTTGTACTATAAAAATAATAGTATCTACAATTTAAAAAAGAAATAAGCTTGTATTTTTACAATAAGTTATACAAAAAAAAAGCATGTTGATAATTTGCATAAGTTAAAGAAATACAATAGATATAAATCAAAAACTGTATTATCATGATACATGCTTGAGTCACAATCTAAGCCAGATTAATACATTCAAGTTATCTAAATAATCTCTATGAATCTAGTGATCAATCTTTCAAATTTGTTAAAATTATTCCACTACATAATTATTTAATGACATTTCAATCCCAAACTAAAAGTAAAAACAAAATATAACATAAGAATTAAAATGAATTTACAGAGTTTTGAATATACTATTTAAATATTTATCACAAAAGATAACTGTTGATTTTATAAAATTTAATTACATTAAAGGAAAACATTTTCATATTTTAGTGCAGAAATATAATAAAAATTTAAGCAGATTAAATAAGTTAAGAAATTCAAGTCAAATTTTTATAGATTTTTTCAAATATGGTGGTATTGAGCATTAAAACATTTTGCTATTGATTTTCCTATTTTTTGTAATAACTAAACTTTTTCAAACACGTATCTCAAGTTCTACATATTGTACACATTTTTACATCAGTTTTATCAAAGTTGTTTCAAAGGCAAAATTTATGAGAACTGAATTAAATTTTAGTTTATATAAGTCACAGCAGTAAATAGTTTGTGCTCACACTGTAATTATAATAATTTGGTTTAGACTTCAACTTGATTTTAATGAAACATTAAAAAATTCATAATATCCGCATTTATCACAAGCAAATCCTAAAACTTTTGTTATCACTGTTACTTCTAAACATATGCATAATTTCATCATCATCAAAGCCAACTAAAGTTCCATAATAACCCTCAAGTTCTTTATCTGTTGTTCATGCAGGGAACTTGTTCATTCTTTTGCCAGAAAAATGCATCATCTTCCATACATTGTATTGAAAATAAGGCTCTTTTAAAAAAAAAAAAAATTAATCACTATTTCACTTGAAATATTCTCCTATGACTTTTTCATTCATTGTACAATAAGTTGAGGAGTTTCAAAGCAATCCATCATTCAGTTCCTTGTATCCAGATACCAGACATGTTCTATGATTTTATGTTTTAAATGGCTTATTTAGTGAACTTCTAAACTCTGTGGAAGTAATGTACAACCTTCAGGGATAACTGCCCAACTTGTTTTGTCTTCTTTTATTTGCATTTTTAATTCATAAAAATGTGAATGGAACTGATCCCTATACAAGAAATGATATTGGCTTAAGGAAAGATCCAGGTCTTTTCATCCAATTTTCATAATGCCAAATGGCTTTATCCATGGATCAACTTGAAAAATTTTCTTATGGCATTGTTTTCTTTTAAATATTTACATTAATTTGAACTGTTTACCCTCAGTTAATCATGCTAAAGCTACCATAAAATGTTTTGGTCTGGGCATTTTCTTACATGTTTTTCTTTTCACCTATCCTGTCAAGAATGTTTGGGGATGGGTGGCAAGGGATGTTTATAAACAGGGATCACAATTTGAAACTGTGAATGCTCTTTGAGCTGCAGTTTATGCATCCTAGACAAACATCCTGAGCACCCTCATGCAGAAGTTAATAATGATTATGCCAAAGAGAATTTTCAAAGTAATTTGCAAAAATGGAGGATATACTGAATATTAAATTGCCATTGTGACTTATTTGTTCTGTATTTTCTATTTTTATTTACATGGTTTATCTTTATGACCAATCAAAAAAATACTTTTTCAATGTTTATTTAAATTAATCAATTAAAAGCTTAATATTTTCACTTGTTTGTTGATAAACTACATTTTCTAATTAAATGTAAATGTTTTTCAAATATATTTCGATTAAAGTAACAGTATTTTATTTTTTTTTTTTAACCCTTTTGTATCTGGTCTTAAGATTTTGACCAGGAGTGTATTACACACACATCACAAATACCCACTTGATATAAGAGTACATAAATTAAAATGCTATGAAAATGTCATCAGCTATTCTAGTAAATAATATATCACAATTTTTTTAATAGCTAAAATACATATATTACAGATAACCAATATTCATTATGGTCAGTCATATATATTTTCTTATAAACTACTCTCAACATAAAATTGGTAAATGATTATCATACAAGAAAGATGAAATGCATGAGAAAAAGCAACTGTCATTCTTAAATGTAAATTTCTCAATACATTTATTATGAATTATTAAATGAATTACTGATAATATATAAAATTATATAGATGGTTGTTATATATTTGTTTTATCAAAATTCTGGCATCGAATATAGTGAATAAATTGTGCATACATCAAACAAGTACAGATATGAAAAACTATATTAAAAGATATTCATGGTAATTAATAAAAAATATTGTGTGTACAAAGTAATTAAGAGTAAAGATATCATGCACAAAATTTATAATGAATTAGTAAACTGCATATATATATATATATTTTTTTTTTTAAATGGAAGCATGGTGCACTTACAGGCTGGAAATAATCTTTTTCAATGTCAGCTTCTTTTTCCCATATCACCTTATTCTCTTCACCGGTTTCTCTAAAGAATACTTTAGTACCTTTCATGAAATTTTTTCCAATAATGAACAAATCCTTTCCTCCTTTAACAGAGCATGCAGTCAGACTTAGCCGAGACACTTCAGGCTGTCCAACAGGCTGGGCTAAAAACAAAATAAGATTTGTATTAATTCAAAAGGATTAGATGAGACATATTTCAAGCAACTATTTTTATTAAAGAAAATAATTTTTGAAAACCTTTAAAATTATCATTTTTTAAATACCATGTTCCTTCAGGATATAAGCAGTGATATCAACAATTTTCTTTTTAATATCTGTGAATTGTAATGACTCCCTGAGAAAGATAATAGCATAATTTCCCATTGCCTTCTCCACAGATTTATATTCAGAATTTTCCTTTCTCTATACTGGCTGCCAACCAAGGCCCAAGAGCTCAATCTGCTCTACTATTTAACCCAGAGCTGGAGATTTAAAAAGTTACTTAAAAGTAATTTTTAATAATCATCTCAAAGGAATAAAAATACTTTAAATAAAATTACTTTTTGCAATAAGCAATACTGCATTTATATACTCAATACAGGAAAATTTACTAGGGACACTTCCACACTTAAAATTGTTTTTAAAGTATTACAATTGAAATATCTTCTCCCTAAAGTTTAACCTTTTGTTTTAATTGCAATAATATGTGGTAAAATAGAACCAAGAAACATAACCAAAATTTAAATGCAAAAAAATACTTTATGTAATTAAATCAAGTTTTAAAACATTTTAGTGTTAGTAAAACATCTAATCATGACTGAGATCTGTCAACAGAAAAATGAAATATTTTAAAAAAACTTCCAAAAATAAAATAAAACATCCTTTAAAAAAAAAATTGTTACATTAAATATTACTTTCTATCTATTAAAATGGCAGATGTTGTTTTACACACCCTCTTCACAGTTAATAAAAGCTTAACAAAATTTACCAACTGATGCTTTTGTCAGTTCAATTATGTAAGCTGTTTTCTTAATATGTACAAGCTAAACAATGTTCTTTTGCCTCCAGTAAGCATTAAGCACCAACATGCAAAACACAAGTACTGTGATGTGTAGTAATAGTGCTCACAATTGCTACTCACTAAATTTGCCCCCCTCATGACTACTCAAGTTTATATAGAGTGTTTTTCATCCATATGCAAATGATCAAACTCTTACATTTACATATTACATCTTCCTGAAATAGAGGTGTTTTATGCTCTTGGTTAATTTTTTACTGCTTCTATGCTCCGATCCATTTTTGAGATTTCCTTGCTCTACTTCTTCATCTCCTTCTATAGATACTACTGTATTTCTATTTCTGGATCTGTCATGTGCTTATTTGTATTCATGGCTATCTTCTTTCAATTGATTGTCATCAGAACTTTCATAACTGTTTTAGCAATCTAGATTCAATCGCCTCACTTTCATCTGCTTCCATTTGTATAGGCATATCCTGAATATTCTCATTATGATTGCAATTCTTTAGGTTCTTTGATATTTGTTCATCCATTTCTACATCTTTGTCATGCATAGGCTAATATACAGCTTCTTTGTTTTTCTATCATGGCTGTATTATGACTTTCTTTTTAATTAAAAAATTTGCCTTTTCTGAACTCAACACCAAATTCTTTTCATACCACATCCTTTTGTCTACAGAATATGATACTGATTTGTTTTCCCACCAGTGCTAATGGGCTCTCTATTTGTCCAGTGTGTGGTAAATGAAAAGCAGTCAGAGTAGAAAATTTTTTATTTTTTTCTTATGATTTGTACCACTCTTTCCACTATACCATTTGATTGAGGGTGATATAGTAGTGTCCTGCATACACGTTTATAAATTCCACACACAATTAAAGACATATTTACTATTTGAAGTTGCTCAGGTATTTTATATCAAAGCTTTGCATTGCATAATCCTTTGATAATTTTCATTTGTATCAACTTGCCTTTCATAGTCTGTTCTCCATTCCCAAGTTTTTCACAATCACAGTACCGGGTCTTAGTCGGTGTACATATTTAACAACTGGTTCACCAGGTTCTTATTTCATAGTAATAAATTTTATGCATTCTACCATGGCCAACCTCTTTTTTTGGTTGCATGTTCCTTAATATTATTTGACTTATTTCCTGAAAAGTAATAATTTATAATTTAAGGGATGGGCCATTATTGAAATTTTTCCAATAGCCTCAAATCTTGCAGTCACCATAAAAAGATCTGTTACCTTGTTTTACCCCACTTTAATTTTGTTGTCTTTCAACTTCTTGGTTCTAGTACTTGCATCAAAGCACTTCAATCATGTGTCCACAAAATCATGGTCCTCTAGTGCTAACAGGCATCCTATTGACAACACCATTGTTGAGATGTGTAGAAATAGTTTTCACAAGTCACTCTTGATTGCTACTCACCAAATCTGTCCGTGTCATGATTGCTTGAGTTTATAAAGAGTGTGTCTCATCATTGATCATTTGTATATACAAATGATCAAACTCTACATTTACATATCATTAAATTAAAATTTTAAAATCTATGAAAACAACTAATTATCAGAATTTGATAAAACTATTATTATTCATTTATGAAATGGGTATTATGAAAAATTTGTGTAAATTTTCAAGTTGCACAACTCATTGAGAGAAATATTTATTTAGCTTTGGAATCTAATAACTGCTTATATTTTGAAACTTTAGAGATTGTAAAAATTTAATCATGAATTTCTGATAACATGAGGAATATAAAGAAAAATAGGGAAAAAAATTAAAAAGTACTTTTACTTGAAATGTTTCCTTTATTTTTTTTAATATTTTTTTCATCTACCAATGTCTTAAAATGTTTCATGATACACAATGTTGTATTCTTTTATTACTTTAAAAGCCTAACACCACATAGTGACAGCCAAAGAACAAGAGCATGGATGACCATGTGCTAGCTCAATGGGAGATAATCAAAAGAAGTAATACATTATTTCTTACCCTTCCTTCCATAAATGTCAATTGTGAAATGTCAGTTTTTTTTTTAAATCAATATTCATGTAAAAATAAATTGTTCATTTGATTTTGTTAAATTTTATATTTTTTGATTATTGATACAAAGTTATTACTGAACATTTTAAAGGACACCATGAAGGATAAATAATCTTAAAACATTAAAACGTTTATTTAAATAAATGAAAATAAAACTTTACTCATTTTCAGCTGATTTTTTTTCTTTCACCTTCCCAAAGACTACTATTTAAAAACTTTCCAAATAAAATATTTTAGTTTTATTGCCATTTTTAATATTCTGATCTGGAATATATTCTTATCACTTGTTGAAATTTAAAATAAAATTTCAACTGACTTAAAATTTCCAGGGTCATATCTTTATCAAAATGTAAATCTTTTTGGCATTCAACAAATATTTTGTTGAGATTTAATAAAATTTTCAAATTCTTCTTAGAAAATACCCTTTTTATAAATAAAGTCATCAATAAATAGTGAAAATTTTATGCATAGTTTTTTTTACATGGTTTTAACCAAGTGGTGTGTTACAATGGTTGAAAAATGAAACAGAAAACCTAAAAAATTGTATTTTTTTCATTTCTTGCCCTCTTTGCCCTCCTGTTGCTCAGAAATGCAGCATGAGGGGATCTGTTTTATTGTTTTTTGTGAAGTTTTTGATACACATTGCATGATGAGAGAAAAATGTGGTTAGCATATGTCTTCATGCAGTGGCAGCCATCTAAAATTCAGGATTTTAAGTGTAAAAGAATGTTTTTGCATGTTTTCAAAAATTTCAATTGGGATTTTTGCAACAAGTGGCAGAAGAGTTGATTGAATTTGTGAGAGTCATAATGGTTATGATGAAAGAAAAGGAGTTCTAAAGGCAAGCAATAAAAGTTGTTTTCAGTGAGAGGTCTCTAAAAACAAAGAAAATTCAATGTTTTCAAAATTTTCAATATCTTCAGAATCTTCAATGGCATAAAATCTGTTTGAAACATGCTGAAATTTTCAGGATAACTCCTCTGTTGAATGTTAACAAATGGTAGAAATTTTGATGAAAACCTTCAGGACAAACCCTTGTTGGCTTTGGCTTGAATGATCTACTAGTGTCACTCTGAAAGGTTTTGCTTGCCAACCTTTCTTCCTTTGTGATATTTGATTTCAGTGGCTTGGCCTTCTCTAGTGCTTGTCTCACTTTCCATTTTATTATTAAGCTCATCTGCTTGGGTCTTTGGGATCTTCAAGGCAACCTCTTCCACTGGAGCTATCATGACTAAGTCTGGAATCTACCTGATGTTAATAAATGGTGAAAAATTTAATGAAAACTGAGGATCTACAGGACGGATCCTTGTTGAATCTGGTTGGAATGACCCTAGTATCATCAAATTGCCAACTGACAAAGACAACGCTATGGTAATGATGGAGAAATTGAAATACTCAATTGACAAGCCTATTTGTGGATAGTAGCTATAGTAAGGTGAACAAGGACGCAACTCAAAAAAATAAGAGGAAGCTGTCACAGATCCTAAATAGAAACAAGGACTAGAGACAGCTGAGTCAACATTACACCAAGCTGCCATATATGTATGGTCTCCCCAAGATTTACAAAATTGGTATTTCATTTAGATATATAGTTGGCTACAGGGTCTTCGCATACCACCTGCTGAGCAGATTCATAGTGGATATAGTTAATCCATTTGCAGGGAAGTCCTTGTCATTATGTTAGGAACTCAGAACTCTTTGTAGAATTGACCCAAGGAGCTCCTATCCATAGTAAACAGATGGTAAGCTTATATGTGGTGATCCTCTTCACCAGAGTTCCTATGAATGAGACCCTGATAGTTGTTCGAACCTGATTGGAATTAGACCCCTGCCTTGGAGAACGTACTAACATTCCAATATAGAAACTGATGGAAATATTGGTGTTTTTTGTACAGACAATGTTCTGCTAATTAGTATTTAACATATACCAACAGAAAAAAAGGCTTGGCTATAGGTTTATCATTGACACTAACAAATATATACATGGAATATTTTGTGAAAATGGTTCTAGGAATGGCACCACTGAAGCCACCAGTATGGATGAGATATGAAGACTACACCTTTATACTCTGGCCTTACCAGGAAGCTGTACAAATACTCCTGGACTGTGTGAACTCAGTAAGACTTTTGATCAATTCACAATGGAAGAAGAAAATGATAATCAACTAGCTTTCCTGGATATACTAATAACTTGCACAGAGAATGTGTTCAAGACATCCATATATCACAAGTCAATCTTCATCAAACAATAACTCCACTTCAATTCCCATCATCCATAAAGCATGAAGAAAGGAATCATCCAATGCCTACAACACTGGGAAAAAATGGCAACCCAGAGACATAACAACAGGAAATGATCAGCATGAAGTATACACATAGATTAATATTTATAAATTCCACAGACATTCAAAGATATATTTCCTATTTGAAGTTGATCAAGCAATTTCATATTGTATAATCCTACAATAATTCTCATCTGTATCAATTCACCTTTTACAGTCTGTTCTTCATAACCAAGTTTTTCAAAATCACAGTACCAGATAGTCCCTCTTAGTGTCCATGTCTAAAAGTATTTCATCTAGTTCTTATTTAAGTAGTGATCAGTTATTGCATGTCCCATTTACAATTAGACACTGCCTGGCTCAGGGATTGAACTCACAATTACTATGTCATCAAATTCATAAACCAATGCTTTAATCCATAGGTTGAGAATTTGGAGCCTTAAACCTAACCTGCTGCTGATAAACATACATATAGATTAAGATAAAGAATTCACTTCAAAATTCCCTGTAGGAAAGAGTTACTCAGATCGGCATACACCTGATGATGGCTGGCGAGCGTAACAGCTGAAATGTTGTGATAACAACAACAAAGATGAGGACAATAGTCTGGATGTAAATAATAATAAAATCCCAGAAATTCATACAGAAATTATAAGTCACTTTCTGTGACAGTACCTAAAAATTACAAAGCTTACTAATAAAATTAATAAATTTATTCCTTGTACACATTATATACAGCAAGCTTATTAACTATCATTTTTAAGATAAGCATGCAAAAACATCAATGAAACAGAAACATACTGCAAACAATTGGAGATGAAGTCACTTGGAGAATTTGTTGCACACCATCAGGACGATTAAAAATGACTCTGAAGACCATTCTGGCACGAGTGCTTCGTTTTTTCGTCTTAGCTACACCTATCCTTTGTTCAACATCAGCATTCCTCAGTTTCAAAATTCCTACACAGTCAATACTGAAATTAATAATAATGGATACCGTGGCATAATTAAAATAAAAAATCAGCTCACAAAATATATAATTCTATACAATTATACAAGAAATTATTATTATAATAAAGAGTGCAATAATTCAACTGGTCAAAGTAATTTAAGTTTGACAATCATCCAAATTCAAAATATCTGAATTCTGTTAAGAAAAGCAAGCAATCACTTAGTGAATTTCTGCAAGTAATTCAAGTAAACTTTCACAATGAAATACTTGAGATTTTTTCAAACAATAGCCTCAATCTAAAATTTATTTCTTTTCATTTCTTTATTACTTACAACAATAAATAAAAAGACTTGGGCTATTTCTACTCATCATGGTACATCATAAATTTGTAAGCAATACACACACAGAGGTAGTAATCCGTTGGTATAATCCAGGCAAGTCCTATTAACACAACACAGAATTTGAAATATGTTAAAAATGACTCACAAAAGAGCACTCAATGTTTATTTTCATTAAACAGAGCAAGTTTTGTTTACAATTGGAATTAAGATACCTTAAGTGAATGACAATTTTCACCAACGAATTTTAATTTTAAAATTCGCAGGATTCTTCAAACTGTTTATGGTATCAGTTTGTAGTGGGATACTGTTTTTGCAAATAGTATCCCACTACAAACTGATACCAAAAACAGTTTGAAAAATCCTGTTAATTTTAAAATTAAAATTCATAGGTGAAAATGGTCATTCATTAAAGATATCTTAATTACAATTGTAAATTGTGTGTGTATATATATATATATATATTTTGAACAATTAAAAAATATTAAAAAATTAAAATCTTTAGACACACTGGATTGTAGATTAATATTCTTTCGTTTTTTTATTATTATTTCATTTAGATTCCTCTAATATATCTATATATATATACATACATGTGTGTATTTGTGCAGCAATCCCTCTTTTATACAAGTTTTATTAATGACAACTGACAAGGTACCTCAATTAAGCTTTTTATTCAATCTTTCTTGCATTCATACACATATTTTCTTTTCTGGACATAAACTGTATAAAAATTGTTCAAATGTTCTATATATCCAAAAGCAATAGGCTATTCTATTAGCCATTATCAAGGATGTTTCTTTTTTAACTGAATATTTAGATTTTTATATATATATTTCTGTATAGTGTTGGGAATATTTTTTATTTTTCAAATACTATATGATACATGATAGCCTGATCTAAATGTAAGAAATGGCTAAAAATAATGGAAGCATTAATAATAAAAATGTGTTGAATGTATTTGGAAAATAAAAATAACATTCCCATATATATTACATTACATATATATAAAAATCTAAATATTCAGTTAAAAAAAAAAATCCTTGATAATGGCTAACCAAATAACCAAAAACACTCAAATATATAAAACATTCTGACAGCTTTTATGCACTTTATGTCCTGAAAAAAAATACTTGTATGAATGCAAGAAAAATTGAATAAAAAGGTTAATAGCAGTACCTTGTTAGTTGTTTCTAGTAAAACGAGTGTGTGTGTGTGTGTGTGTGTGTGTGTGTGTGTGTGTATATATATATATGTGTGTGTGTGTAATGGTAAAAAATTAGTGACAACTGTGTCTTCATCTATCTAATGCCTTACCATTATGTGGGAGGTATTTCTGCTGCACCATACATACACAAATATGTACACTAAAACATCAAAATAACATTCAGAAAGAAAAGCAATTAAAAATAAATGTTAATACCTTGCCATCAAATCATTCGTTGAACTTAACTCTATTTCAATAGTAGTTGTACTGTCAATGTCTCTTTCTGTGCAAGGTGTTGAATTTTTTCCAGAAACTTTACATGCCTGATAAAAAGGATGAGGTTTTACTTTCCCAGTGTCAGTGCCAACAAAAACTTGAAGTAGTGCAGTCTGAACGGGTCCATAAAGCTGAAACAATTATAAGGGAATATCATATATATCAATAGTATATTATAACAATTTAGCTTCACTGTGCAAGATTAATGTTTCCCAGTTTGAATTATCAAAGGATTTTTGTACAACTAATTTAACAGGAAAAATTCTTTATAATAAAGCTTGAAATCAAATGTTATATTTTAAAAAAATAACTAAATACTTTAAAACAATAATACATTCTTTTTTCTTAAATTCCTACAATATTATCACAAAATATATAAATTATTTTTTTCCTTTCACACCAATCAAGGAAATAAAGCCACTAAGACATTGGTAGGAGGTACTGGGGGCTAGAGAATATGCAATAGAATAAAAAAAATACTATTAAGGAGAGAGAACAGTAAAAGAACAAGAATTAAGAAAACAGTAGATAATGATTGACATCGTATTTAAATTTTTGAAGATCAAAATTGTCTGAGAAGCGAGAAGAGAGTTCCACAATAGAGACATGAGATACAAGAAACTGTTGGCATAAAACTTATGGTTACATCTATCCATTTCAACTGTAAAATGATGAGATCTTGCTAGTACTGCATTTAAATTCATAATGTCTAGGTACCATAGAGAAAAGTTCATCAAAACAATTACTATGAAAGTATTTATAGAAAAGGTACAGAGAAGCTACATTAAGGTTGTGAGAAAGGCGAGATGCCAGGTCAGGACAAATAATATTGCAGATTCTGCTTTGGTTTTTATTAAGAATTTCTAAATATATATAGCAGGAGCACCAGACCAGATGTGGCAGCAGTATTCAAAGCAAGAACGAATGGCAGATTTATGAATATGTAAGATAGATTCTGTCAGGAAAAAACTGTCTAGCATGATACATGGATAAAATACAGCTAATTGATATATACCTGTACCACAGGGTAACCTTGTTGAGTTTGATCTTTTACAGCTCCCCGGCTACCTTCAGTCATGTAACGAGCTCGGTGCTGCTCTTCAGGTTGTTCAAGAATACGGAGTTCAAATCCATGAGACTTTGATGGGAACTGTGTACTCAAACTGGGTTCTTTTTTCCTCTGTACAGACCTTGCATTAGAATTAGACTTCTGTCCAACTTCAGCATGTTTAAGAATTGGAGTCACAGTAGAAACTCTAAAAAAATAAATGAATAAATATATAAAATTAAAAAAACAAATAAAATATACATGTTAATCTACAGTTGAGATTTGGATTATACCAACTAAAAATGATGGCTGTATATATAATAAAAAAGAAAACACGCACAAAGATTGATAAGTGTATTTTATGTAGATAAAGATATAAGATCAAATTTCTTAGATAGGATGTAAATATTGTTTCCACATGCATCATAATTTAGACTTTAAATTAATTTATTTACAGCACAGATTCATTTTGAAAAATAATTATGAGAAATCCATTAGAATACTGTGTTAAATCTGAAGAAAACTAAAGGAGTTAACTTTTTTTTATACAGAATGTAACATTAAATAAAAAACATTAAAAGAAATTGTTTGCTAAAGTATAAAATGAAATAAATGTTAAAAAATTCAAAATTAAATATAAAAATTAATTTGATGATGATAAATATAATGAAGATTTATTTATAAATAACAAAGAAAGATGATAATGAAGTGTAAGTCTTTAACAAATCAAGGAATCTTGCATGTTCTCTCAATCCTTTAGCAGATTGTAAAATATAAGCAATTGTTCAAGTATTTCAGCCTACAACTAAAAATAATCATTATAAATGAGAAAACAGTAATAAGAAACTAAACCAAATCTATATATAATTATTTAAAAAGGATTAACGATGTAATTTTTTTCCAACTGGCTATGATTATTTAAAACAACAATTCATTAATTAATCATGTTATAGTTCCAGTTAACTATGACATGCTTAACAATACTTCAAAGAAAATATGAATCATTTTCACTGAATAAGGTTGAAAGCAAAAATTAGAATGACAACAGATAAAAAAAAAACAAAATAACTTGGAGAATTTCTTACTGTTCCTTTGTAACAGTAGTTTATTTCAACAAATTTGGTGATTTCAGATTTCAAAGTACCTCACAAGCAGACATTTTCTAAAAATAAGCATTCCTGAATTTTTTTTTTTTTGTCAATGCAGAACTAACATATAGGAAAACAGACCCTTAATAACAAACAAGGCAAAAAAAAAAAAAAATCATCATAAATTGGCATGTAACACTAAACTAGAAGACAAAAATGGTAAGAAATTTTGTATTCTAACATGATTTTTAAACCACTGTCAAACTATCAAATTTCAAAGTATAAAATATTCAAAACGCTTACTAGGATAAATTCAGAGGCAAATTTGTATTTTTGCAAAATCTTAAAAAAAAAAAAAAACATTTTTTTTTCAAAACTGTATAAAGAATATTTTTTCATACATTTGATTTTGCTGCTTCAGTGAAAGCTGGAATTGACATCCAATATCAGTGCATAGAAAAGGGATAAAGAAAAAAACAAGAAAGTAAAAAATAGAAATATAAAATTTTGTAAACAAAATTATATTTCAATTACATTAAAAAATGGCAAACCCTAAGATGCTTTATCTGTTTTGTATACAATGCTCTAGAGCAGCTCAGCAATATTTGAATATGTTCTCTAGTGTCTTATACAGGGTGCAGCAAAAATACATCCCACATAAAGGCAAGACATTAGTTAGATGAAGACAACATTGTCACTAATGTCTTACCGTAATGTGGGAGCTATCTCTGCCGCATCCTGTACAACAGCATCAAATATAAAATAGTATTATACATATTGAAATTTATTTCAGTCAATTAAAAAGTGAAAATATTAGGAAATACAGCAATTAAAAATTTTATTTTGGAAAAAAATAACTCAGTTTAGCATCCCATAAACATTACACTAATATTTTGATGACACTAATTCTTTATGTAAATATTTTAATAGTAAAACTACAAAGTTCCCAGAAAATACAAATACTATAGTACACTGATAGCATAAAAATCAAATAGTAAATGAATTAAAAAAAAAAAAAAAAATGTTCCACATATTGTTTTAGCACAATATCTCACATCTTCAGCTTTGCTCTAATAAACTCATAATTACAGCCTCCCAAAACTTTTCAGGCAAATATCTCCTTTATCCTTTACACTTTTCGCAGTCTTCTATGAAACTGAAGTTACAATATCTAATGAATATAGTGAAAGAGTGAAAGCATCCCAACTACACTGTAACAATTTTCACCTGGTTACCAAAGATAAGAAATTTTGTCAAACATCATTCTGATAGAACATTATACGATTTTTCTAATTCTGGATGCACACTTTTTATTTCTACTTCCAATTGGTCTAATTGGAAGTGACACTTGTTCAAATCCATAGTTTCTTTTTCCTTATAAAGAACTAAATGAATAGCTACTAGATTAATGGACTTCCTTCTATTATCATCTTTTGATTGAAACCAGGTATAATTAATAGTTGTTCATTCCAATTGTATTCTATGTTGTAACATCCATTTTCTACTACCAATCATACCAACATTTTTATTCTGCTTAAATTGTGAATCACACACATAAATGCAGAGTAAACATTATTTTTAACTGATGTAAAGTTACATATCAAATCAGCCTACATAACCAAGCTGGTGCAAATAATTTTCAACAGTTGAATTAATTATTTTAGGTCTTTCATATATCTTTATAACATACTCAATTAGTAGTCTTGATTTGATCACACTCAAACTAGCTGATTTCAATTACTTAATTTAATTTTACTAAAGATTGTACACTTTTAGACATTTTTTTTTTAAAATCCATTGAAGTAACATTGGGCCACCACCGCAATAAGTATGTCCAGAGCAATATAACTTGACTGAGCACATCCTTTTTCCAGTTGTTTGAAGTTAAACAGACTGTCCTCCCATGACTAAAACAATCAATATGCTCTATTTCCAAATTCACTTGTGATTCACTTTTAGCATCTTGAAAAATTAGCACTGAACATCATAAGTTAGTTGAAGTTAAAATATTCTACCCAATATGAATTTAAATTATAAAATATAAAATAAAAAATATAATATAAAATTAAAATATAAAATATTAATATTTCATCAATAGTGCTTATCAACCAAGTGAACCGTGAATTACATTCTGCTTGAGTTATTAGTGAGAGAGAAAGTTCTTAATACGTACGATAAATTTCGGGCTTCCATTTGAATCATCTATTTTGAAAGTTATATTTTTCTACACTATTTACATAATTCAGACTATTGTGCTCATCTTTGTCGCCATATTTCTTATGTTTCAGTCATTGTATGCTCCGGCCTTCTTCAGGTGATTGGAATGTCAAACTGAACCCTTTATTTCGCTCACTGGGGTAGCCTGTTCTAGTTCCACATGCAATGTTTAATGGATGTCAGTTATCTCTTGTTAATTTCCCTCTCCAAGTTCTCCACTGCCTTAACCAGCTATTGAACTCACACTCTTTGGGTCCTGTCACTGGATCTAACTAACACCTTTTATCCACTATGCCATGTGTTCTTGAGGACATCTGTGTATGAATTTCTGAGTATTATAAACCTAATGTCTTCAGCAACCTTTTTTACCAGTGCTCATATTACAATTTTTTGCTGTTATCATTGCATGTTTTTTTATCATCAGCTCATATTGCAATTTTGCTGTTGTTATCCTTTTTCTCTGGCACTTTTATTACTAAATTTTTCCCATATTGTACTCATTTCTATGCTTGGTCAGCTCAGGAAATTTTTTTGTGGCCAGCATTATGCTGATTCCTTAAGTTTACAAATTTTCCAATGGTGTTCTTTGTCTATGATCTCAACCTGATCCCAAAGAGGGCAGTGATCTCCCTTTTCTCTCCATATGTGGTCAGCCACGCCTGATTTTTTTTTTTTTGATGACTAAGATATTCTGAAATTAAACTTCAAATTATTCAAAACAAAGTTTGCATGACAGCTTTTGATATTCTCACAAATTTTCTAGCACTTCTACAGGAGTCCTTAATGTTCAAAGAAAATAGGAAAAGAGAAGTGTGCAAAATATATGAAAAGCAATAAGGTCTGTGTGTGTGTGTGTGTGTATATATTTGGATTTTCAATTGTTGACTACAGAACTAATCCTACAGTTATTTTGTAGTGGACAATTATTAGGATTCCTACAATTACATAAGTTGTTATTTGTATTATTATATTTAGTATTGCAGTTAGTAACCTGTTTGTAGTCAAGTCTTTTGAATCCCTATACTTGTTAAAGACTATGTTGTTATGTTTTTTAATTAGTTTTTCTCAGGTTATCAGTTTTTTCTCATCTGTTGCATTTAATTTCAGGGTATTAGAATAAATATTTTACTAAGTGGGTTAGATTTCTTGATGAGGTTTAGAAATATCGCCTGTAATTTAGTTTTAACCATTATATTGAAGGGAGGAGGCAAACCAGATGATCTTTCAAGATCTTCTTTTCTTATTATAGTTGAATTAGGAATGTTTTTTTATCATGTTCCATATTTTTTCAAAGTGCAGAATCAAGTAAAATAGTGCTTTGTTTCATTGAAAATTTTTTTTTACAAGTGCGAAATTCGAAATCCAATTTTTTTTTTTTTTTTTATACACCAAATTAACTGAAGGTTGATGATTAAAATTTGGATGCAATCTTTTTATATTGGGTTTGAAATTACCAATTAGAAGATTCCATGTCAAACACCAGCAAAAGTTGAAATCTGCACCCACCGTCAGCAAATTACTTGAAATTTGGCACAAATGTTCCCCTTCATGAGTTAGAAAAGTGTACCAAATTATTTTGTGTTTGACTTTACCGTTCCAATTTTAAGGGGGTGTGTATAATTTTCCTATTTTGCCTCTAAATTAAGGCTGTGCAACGTCACCAATTTCAATGTTTTTAAAAATTAAAAATACTTCCATACCTTCAATATTTATGAAATTTGGTAT